TTCCTGCAGAATTTTGCTGTGTGTACTGATCTGATTACCACCTCAGATATGGGACTGTTGGAGCACAGAAATGGGTTAACTGTTCTCTCCTTTGGATTATATAAACTCCCCCCCCCCACGTGCACATACTGGTGATCCGTTAATTGGCAAAGAACTATTCTATCACAGCTGTGCTCAGTCCGAGAGACATTTGTTCATGTCTCACGAAAGGGTACAATTTGTCACTTGCTTAGAAACAGCTAATTGATAGAGATGTTGAGGCCTTCCTTTGACCTGTCCCAAAATGGCTCTTCTAGACATTATTCTGCCCCAGCAATCTGTTAGGACAGGCTCAGAGCCTAACTTTAAGATAAGGTTCTAAATCCTGGAACTTTATTTTTTTTAAGCAACCAGGCCTCTGCTTGGGAAGCCAAAAACAATTGTGAAAAGTGGCCCGTGTGTGGGTGTGGGGGGGGGGGGGGTTGTTTGTTTTGCTGAGAGCCAGATTAGAAAAGTGGGTAGAACTCTGAGAGGCTGTGAGGTTTAGCAGTGAAAGAAACATTAGACTAGGTCAGTTGGGAGACTTGATTTCACTCCTTGCCCAGCCAGTGGCCCTGATCCAAACTCCCCTTCCCTCCCATGGCTGTTTGCGGTCTGATCATGGTCCCATCTAGTTTGGCCCTGAGAAGTCACAATCTTTTTTTTTAATTATTATTATTATTATTATTATTATTATTATTATTATTATTATCATCATCATCATCATCATCATCATCATCATCATCATCATCTCAAAAAAGTGGGATACAAAAGGGAAGAGGGGGTAGGGGAAACTATAGATTCATCAAATTTATCAAATATTATGGGTTGTTACATACCACAAGATAAATCAGAAATATTTCAAATATAGAAGAAGAAGAGAAGAGATTGGATTTATATCCCGCCCTTCACTACCCAAAGGAGTCTCAGCACGGCTTACAGTCTCCTTTCCCTCCCCCTCCCCACAACAGACACCCTGTGAGGTAGGTGGGGCTGAGAGAGCTCTGACAGAAACGGCTCTTTTTCAAGAACAGCTGTGCCAGAACTATGGCTTGCCCAAGGTCATCCAGCAGCTGCGAGTGGAGGAGTGGGGAATCAAACCCGGTTCTCCCAGATTAGAGTCCATGCATTTAACCACTACACCAAACAGACAATAAAACATCAATATTACAATGTTTTGGGATGAATTATCTCTTTAATAGAATAAACAAGGACTTTGCTAATGTTAGCGATAATCTATTAACAATAAGAGAGATTACATCTTTAACAGTCGAACAAACTTCTATGCTAAAATTAGATCACTGTTACAACCTGAATATTGTCTTAATCGTTTGCCTAAATCTAAGTTTTATTCTTACCAAATATTTAAATACTAGTGGAATACTAAATAAATATATTAAAACTGTAATCAATGTCTTCATGAGAAGTCACACAGTCTTGAAGCTGCAAATGAAGCTGCTGTTATAACTGCATCACACCATTTGGTCCGTCTTGAGCAGAAGTTTTCCCCAGCCCTGGAAAAGAGCCATTGGCAGACCACTTCACCAGTCTTTTAGTGGGGCTGGATGCACTGAGAAACTTCCCTGCTTCTTCCAGTATATCAGTTAGATTCAAGTCCAGTCGTATCTTAGATACCAGCAAGATTTCCAGGGGATGATCTTTCGCGAGTCAGCGCTCCCTCCGTCCGGTTCTAGCTGTTCTACTCCGACAGGACTGCCCTCTGAAACGGTCTTCCAGGATGTCACACTTATTTATGTATTTTACAAAATTTCTACCCTGCCTTTCTGCCCTCACAGGGGCTGCCAAGGTGGCTAACAAATCAAAACTGCCTTAATATATTCATTGTACTTTGAAATATTGGAAGTTAATGTTGTTGTTGTTATGTTATTTTGTTGTTGTAATGATTTACCAGAAATCTTAATAAAAAGTTAATGATTAAAAAAAAAACCCTGAAAAAACTGCCTTAATAAAAAAATAACATTTTAAAACCATTAAAAGCAAACCATCCCCTCAGCATATCATCAAAACAATTAAAACGAGCAAAAATGCACACATCTATCATGTTGTTCAGCACATCATGTCAGTAAAATAGGGGTTTTTCCCCCCTCCAGTGGATTAAATTGTGCTGTTTTTGTTTTGTTTCTTTCCTCTTAATGACTAGGCTGAAGAACGACAGACCTGTTCAGTGTGGGCTATATGACGGCTTGGTGGAGCTGGCCACGATCTGTGCCCTTTGTAATGATTCTTCCCTGGATTACAACGAGGTGGGTTGTAAGTCAGGAAGAAAAGAGATACATATTTGTCTGGTGCTATTTATTGCCAGGCAGTGTAAACTGCTTAACTCTGTACCCTGCCCATGATCTGAGATGTCATGCATTAGGACAGACAGGTTGTACCACCTTCTGGGAAATTGTGAAAACTTTTACCTTGAAGGGTTTTTTTTTAAATTATGTAGATGCTATTGCTGACTGTGGGTTTATGGCTCTGATGCTTCTCAGCTGAATTTTTTATTGTTATGGTGCTGCTTTTTTAAAAGTTCTGTTTCTATTTTTTTTATGATTGCTTTTATTCTGACGCTGCTTCAGATGTGTGTGGGGGAAGCCAGAGTGAGTGGATGGGTCTTAAGGAGCTGTTTGAATGTAGTAAGAGTGAAAGAAAGTTCAAGCTTGTATATTGGAGCCAGAGAAGAACTCCCCACCCTCTCCTCCAATCACACTTATGATGGCACTGCAGCAGATGTGGCTGACAATGCTGGTGGCAGTGACCAGCTGGGCCACAATAGAAGCACTTTCTCTCCCTCTTCCCTTTCCTCCACCTCCTTCCTTGGGGACTCAGTGCACCCAGGGAAATGTCGTCTTCAGGATTCTTGACATGGAGACTACATTTCCCAGGGTGTACTCAGGCATGGTGCTTTGGGTGCTCCTGAAACAGCCTCTCAGGTAACTAGAGAGAGAGGGGGGAGAATGATGCTTTTCCCCTGTCTGTCTGTTGCCAATACCAACCTCCCCTCCCTCCCCCGTCAAAGTAAATGCTGTTGAAGAGAGAAGTGAAGATTTTTATAGTCATCGCAAGCTTGGAATTGTACTTATAAAAATAAGCCATTTGTCTTTCATTCCTTCTCTATTTCTATTTTTACCTGAAATGAAATTAGATTCCATCACACATCCATTTTTACCTCTACGAAAGGAGAAATGGTTGCCCACCTCAGCGCCATGATTTCTTGACTTGTGCAAGCTGCATATACTGAACCAGGACGTCTGGATTCCCTAGCACCGAAGAAAATCTATCCTCTAGTTAACGTGCTGGTTTCCGAATTACGTCGCAAAACTTCTGTCTTTTCCTTTCATCAATGAACATTTTTGTCCTTTCATGTTATCAGTCCAAGAAAGTCTACGAAAAGGTGGGAGAAGCAACTGAAACGGCCTTGACGTGTTTGGTGGAAAAGATGAACGTTTTCAACACAGACCTTGACCAACTCTCCAAGGTGGAACGCGCCAATGCCTGCAACTCAGTGAGTAGGAGAAAAAGTCAGCACCTTTCTCTTATTACAGTTCAGCAGAAGGGGAAGAAAAGTGAGGGTGAATATCTCTCTTGGGGCTTGTCTCCCCTACCAAGGAGATAGGTGAAATGGGGGGAAGGGGATTAATGTGGTTGGATGGTGTAGATAAAGGCATTAAGAGTTTGGAGTAGTTCAGCATTCAAGCATTTTGAGAACTAATGGGAATATTCAGTCATGATGACAGAACTCCACATAGCTCAGGGGGCATTTTTGAACATTAAAAATATAGTTTGTCACTGAGCTGTTGCTTTCACTTGCCTGTTATGCTGTTACATTTAGGGTACTGCGTTTGTGGTTCAAAGTGAGGGCAGGAATCGTTGCCCTCACTCTGGTGGCTGCATGGCATCAGCAGGAGGTCTATACAGAGTGCGCCCAGTGGTACCTGTCCTCTCTCTGATTTGGCTTCCTGCCAACAGCACATCATTACGTTAGCTGTGGGATCCCTGATTGGGTATCAGCTCCAGAAGACGCCTTTGGCATTAGAACTGTAGATTAGAGGGAGAGAGAGGAGCTGAAGGTAGGCACCAAACATTCAACAAAGTATAAGTGAAGAAGTATTTTGCAAAAAAATTTACAGTCTCTCTCATAAGATGATGGATTACTTATCATGCATCATGATGACAGTATAATGAACGCATACTGAGCCCAGTGTTGTCTCCTGTGGTTGGTTTTCCATAGTCTCAGACCATTTAGACTATACATTCTAGGAATTGTACCTGGAGTGTTCCATGTGCAAAACAAATATTCTACCCCAAAGCTGTATGTGGTCCTAGATAGGGACCTAGGGATCTGACTTAGTGATAAAGCACTAATTGATATGCAGAAACTCTTAGTAAAAGTTGGAAAAGACCTTTCTTTCTTGATACCCCTGGAGAACCACCACCAGATACAGTTTCAAGTGCGTAACCATGTTAGTCAGTAGTCATAATACAAAATTCAAGTGCAGTAGAACCTTAAAGACCCACATTCTCCAGGGTATAAGCTTTAGTGAGTCAAAGCTTCGTCAGTTCTGACCAAGTGAGATCTGACTCACAAAGCTTCTACCATGGGAACCTGTGTTGGTTTTCAAGGTGTTGCTGCACTCAGATTTTATTCTACCACCAGATATAATAGACTCTGCTAGACTGCAAGGACTCTGACTCAGTTGGAGACACCTTCAGATATCCACTTCACCAGCCCACCAGGAGCAGCCCAATGATGTTGTGTGTGGGCAAGGAGATTCATGATTAAGTGACCCTATACTTTGCAGAAGGGGAGGAATGAGACACACGACTTTTGATGACAGCCCCATATCTTCCGGATGATCGAGGGCAGTTCTCAATAATGATCCAGAGAAAATACCGCTTACGGGAGATGCAGGGATGCCAATTGTAATGGTATAATATGTGGTTTCCCTGATAAATAGGAATCAGGAGCTAGCCCAGCAAACGTCCCTTTCTCTCTTCGGCAAAATTCACCTGGCAACAGCTCTGATGACTTCCATTTTGCCTCTCTCCCCGCAGGTGATAAAGAAGCTGATGAAGAAGGAATGCACACTTGAGTTCTCCCGGGATCGCAAGTCCATGTCAGTTTACTGTACACCCGTAGCCTCTAACCACAACTCCTCTGGCAGCAAACTCTTTGTCAAGGTAAGGCATAAGAACATAAGAACATAAGAGATGCCAATGTTGGATCAGGCCAAAGACCCATCCAGTCCAACACTCTGTGTCACACAGTGGCCAGAAATACCAGTGCCATCAGGAAGTCCACCAGTGAGGCCAGGACATTAGAAGCCCTCCTACTGTTGACCCCCCCCCCAAGCACCAAGATGACAGAGCATCACTTGCCCCAGAGTCCCTATCTATACCTTGTGGCTAATAGCCACTGATGGACCTCTGCTCCATATGCTTATCTAATTCCCTTTTGAAGCTGTCCATGCTTGTAGCTGCCACCACTTCCTGCATCCAGCATTGTCTGCCTCAGCGCTTCTCAACCTTTTGTGTCTTACGTCCCACCAGTCACTCTCATCAAAGAACCTGGGCCCCACCATGGTAGAACCCAAAAAACAACAACAACAACACTTTTTCAGAAGAGGACATATAGATGTTTACAGACATTCTGTTATAACTACGAGCATACTGACAGAACAGAAACCTTTATTGGCATAACTTAAGTAAACCAGGCAAGGAAAAGTTTAAGGGGTAGTACAAGAACAACATCAACCAATATTCCCGATATTCCAAAATACAAGACAATCCTAACATGATTTACAAGAATTACAGAGTATTACTCTTGACTTCCATACATAGGTCAAAAAATTCAGCGACAGATAGTGTTATTGGTGGGCTCTTGTCTGTTAAAAAATTTTTAAATCCCTGTCCAGAAAATCTCTCTGCGAAGGGAGAAAAGGGCGAATCAAGATATTGCGCATAACGGAGTATTTGGGACAGTGGAGAAGGATATGGGTAATAGAGTCAGGTTCCCCAAGATTACAGTTACAAAGTCTATCCCTGTACGGAACACCCCTGTATCTACCTGAGACCACTACTGAAGGGAAAAGGTTGAACCTTGCAAGCATAAAAACCCTCCTAAAAACTGAGGTTATCAGATTATCGATATACGGTAGCATGGAGGTAGAGCATACTGAAAAGTCACAGGTGGATACTCAGTGGCATGAATGGTCAGGAAGAGACAGCATATCGCACTTGTAGATGGACACGGGGATAGGGGGAGAGCAAATCCTCATTCATTGTTATTAAAATCATGTGCCCTGCCTAGACTGATTTGCTGCCCCAGTGGTTGAATGCATACCACCGGTTCAGAACTGTTGCTTTAGGTCAGAGGTTCTCAAACCTATTTGGCCTACTGCCCCCTTTTCAGGAAAAAAAAATTACTCAGCGCCCCCCTGGACAAAGAAGTGGACAAAAAGATTCAGTGACAAATTTGCACATAGTAGAGAAAGATGTTGTTGTAAATGAGACACTTTGAAGCTCAAAATCATAACATTATTTTATAAAATCAACTATAATAACATTTTCATACACACAGAAAATTAAGATAACAAAGGCTGTGATTGGCTGTGGGAACCCCTCTCCACCTCCACCTCCCTCCCTGATCTCAGGGAAGACCAGGAGAAGACAATTTATTAGGATATATTATTAAATCAAATACACATTATAATTTTAGTTGTTATACATCCTATCTTCTATTAACCCCCCCCCCCTTGGCTTCCCACAGTGCTCCAACCTCCAGCCCAATTCTTAAATTTTTCTCTATTTTCCCTTTATCCTTTAATCATAAACTACCGGTAACATTTCCTTCACCTATTATTTTCTTATAATTAACTTTCTTCTAGTAACATTAACTTTTCAATAACTGTCAAAGCAAATTAAATTGTCCTTTACATCCCAATATTTCTCTAAGTAATCTTTAAAATCTTTCCAGTCTGCATAAAATTCTTCTGCTTCGAGATTCTTAAATTTCCTTGTCATTTTGTCCATTTCAACCATAAATAGTAGTTTCTTTATCCATTCCCCAATTTCCGGAATTCCGGAAAAAGCTCCTGGACTCTTCTTTCTTTATGCTTCCATCGTCCCCTTATTTTTATTAAATGCCCTCCAATTGCACCCAAGGCTCCTACCGCCCACCTGGATCGTTCCAGCCCCCCCCCCCCCAGGAAGCGGTATTGCCCACTTGGGGAACCGGTGCTTTAGGTGGATCTTCTACTGCTTTTTCCATTCTGTGAGACAGTGGTGGGGTTGGGATTGTTTCAGCCTCACAGTGAAAAGCAGGCCTGCTTAAGTGGCAGAAGAAATGCCGTGCTTGACCCTTGTGACTTGTCATTAGGGATCTCGCTGTTCTCAGATGCTCCTGATCAAAACCCGTGATCGTCTTGAATCAGACACCATTCACCAGCTGTTTCCTCCCCTAATCCCCCCCAAGACGGATTTTTTTTTTGGTCAACCTCACCGTTTTGTTTATTTCTTCGATTTATTTTGCTCTTCCGTCCAGAGCCCAGGGTCACATGCGCTATTCCCTATCTTCTTGATTGATCTTGTATTTTTGTTTACTTATATGTGTCCTCCTATCCTTTGTTTCTTTGGGTCCATATCTGCATTTGTTGTGCGGGTTTTCCCCCTCCCCCCGTGCACCAACTTTCTTTGCTAGTTTTCCCATTTCATGTGTTTCTTTTATATAGTAGCATGCATACGCACACACAAAAGCCCTCCAAAACAGAATGAAAAACAGGCCTCACTTTGACTGTCCATCAGATTTTGCTATTTGGGTTGGGTAAAAGATGACTGTGGTTTCTTCCCAAGCACTGAGATACAGCCCCCCCCCACCCCAAACCTTCTCTAACTTTTGACTTACACCCAGGTAAGACAGAAAATTTGCTGGCATCCCTCTTTGTACTCTTTAAGCCAAGAATTTGCTCCCAAAGGGGCTTGCAAGCAATCAAAACCGCAGATGTGAACAAAATATAATGAAAGATGCTTGGGGGATCCAGTTCTGTAGAGTGGTGCCCAGTTATACCCTTGCTGGTAGTATTTGGTAACACGAAAGAGGTTCTCAGCTGGAGAGGGATTTGGGTGTGATGAAACAGCATGACAATTTATCCTCTTAACAACCCCTGTGAGGTAGATCAGTTTGAGAGAAGGAGCCAGCCCAAGATCATCCAGTGCCTGGATGCAAGACCTCCTAGGAACCCCTTTTATGCCACCAGGAGCTCCCTGATAAAAGAATTAGTTTATCTTAAAAGAAATTATCACTATTTATTTGTGCCTTCTAAGCAGCTTGTGAGTTGTCATGCTCGAAAACCCGCCAGCCGTCACAAGCCGAAAATTCGGCAAGCTGCTCGGGTATATCCGAATGTATGCGGACGTTTCTGCTCACACGCTTAGACTTTCATGACACCCCTGCTGCTTTCTGTTTCCCCTCTGCTGCAGCAGCTTCCAGTTTTTATAAGGGCAGATGGTAAAAAGAAGTTTAAGCATTCGTTTGAGATGTTTGAGCTGAGACTTAATACTTTCAGTGTGACTTTGGAATCTGATCGGGAACCTAGCTTAGGGATGGCCATTTGTGGCTCGGGAGCCACATGCGGCTCTTTCACACATATTGGTGCAGCTCCTGACAGGGCGGCTGGAGAAGCGAAGGGGAGGCATGCCTCCCCGATCGGTCTTCCCTTCCCCAGCCAGTGTTTCCCTCCCTGGGTAGGCTTGAAGTGGGGAGGAGCAGAGAAAGAAAACAACTTTAAATGCATTCTCAAAGCCACCCCCCCACCGTCCAGCTTGGGAGAAGGCATTTGTCTCTCTAAATCCCTTTGCCCAGCCAGCCAGTGGGGGCCGGGGGGCTTGGAGGACACATTTAAAGTTATATCTGCTTTTACTCCTTTTGGTTTTATTTTTTGGCAGTCTCATTTAATGTTAACCCAAAGCAAATTTTCTGCGAGTCTGGGAATCTTCTTCAGCCCATTTTATTAGTGTAGCCTTTGAGATCTCCAGCACATCTTAACCTCCACAAGGACTAGAATCCTGCTATAGATCAGGGGTGGCCAAACTGCAGCTCGGGAGCCGCATGCAGCTCTTTCACACAGCCTAATTTAATGTTAATAAGAAGCAAATTTGTATATTTTCCAATACAAACACGTGTGTGATATTTTGTTCATGTCTTGCGGCTCTCAAACATCTGACGTTTATTCTATGTGGCTCTTGCATTAAGAAAGTTTGGCCACCCCTGACCTAGCTCATCTGGCAAGCAGGTTTGCCAGTAGATACGGCTGACCGTGCAGGTGCAAAAAACCGCGGATGCATTCTTTCTGACATTGGTCATTTTAAAAATGCAACTGACTGTGCAGGTACAAAGTAAGGATGAACCATGAGTGGTTCTTGTATTTTATAAAAATCAATCAGTTTAATGACTTGAGCATTCACGGTTCCGGGGATGCAGCCTCTTCCCCAGTAAACGATGCAATTTAGTTCTTGCAGTGGTCAGGGCCATACCCAGGTTGCACTACCAAGGTGGCTTTTATGCAGGTGAGAAGCTGTTCGGCGCACTCTTGTGTTTATTATGAACTTTGTCTGGGGACATCAGTGGGCAGTGCTGCATGTTCAATTTCAGTTCCTACAGCCGGGAAACGAGTGGGTCAGCGCCGAGCTCTGATCTCAGTCGGAAGCATGTTCCACCAGGCTGAGGCCAGGGCTGAGAAGGGGCATCTTTCGGGCCAGGGACAACCAGCAGATGGCTATAAGAGGGTATCTTAGCAACAGTAGCTAGTCCAAGCAAAGTGGCTAAGTAGGTCTATATAGGAAGAGTCAGTTCTTCTCATATGAGGGTCCAGGTCATCAAAACCCCTAGAGTTGAGCCCGGAGGACAATAACTAGAGGAACAGGACATTCTAGGGGGAGGCTTTGGTAGGATCCAGGCTGATCTTGGACCTCTGAACAGAGTTCTTTTGTTAATCCCGGGCTTCTTCATCCTGGACCCCAATGTTACCGTATTTTTTGGACCATAAGACTCACTTTTTCTTCCAAAAAAAGTGGGAGGAAAAGTGAGTGCGTCTTATGGACCGAAGGTTCAGAATATTTTTTCCCCTGTTTTCCTCCTTTAAAAACTAGGTGCGTCTTAAGGTCAGGTGCGTCTTATGGTCCGAAAAATACGGTAATTTGATTTAGCTTCACCTTAGTCACTACCTATAAGGACTCACCTGTTTGCAACCGCACAGGTCGTATGTGTGCTTTAGCTCTTAAACTCTCCTTCAACCTGGATTTTTAGAAAACCCTCTGCTATGATCTAAACAGGGTTCACTGTCCTCGAGTAACTTCCCCCCCCCATCCAAGATAGCAGAGCTGCAGCCGCTGCTGTTGGTTAAAAACTGGCAAAACAGCACCACCTAGCGGAAATTCACAAGTCCGTTCAGGCAGCTGTCTGCCAGACTCGTTACGGGCTTTCTCAAGTCGGGTTACCAGCAACCTGGGAGGAAATACCCTCGTCCCTTTAATAAAGGTTTAATAGGAAGTTATATATACCAGGTGGTGTTATTAACTTCCATGTCATGACAAGCCGCACTGGCCCATTTTGACAACTTAAGTCTCTATTAGAGGGACTTTTCTCCAGGTTGCTGGAAACTGTCCTTTCAAGTATTGATTGATATTCATTCATTCATTTATTTATTAGCTGGACTTCTATCCTTCCCTTCCCTATACGCAGGGCTCAGGGCAACTCACAACAATTAAAACACATCTAAAACAATAAAATTAATAAAACCTTCAATCAGTTATACAATAGCTGTTGTAGATTTTCCAGGTTGTGTGGCCGTGGTCTTGGCATTGCAGGACGTGACGTTTTGTCACTAGCTGTGACTGGCATCCTCAGAGGTATAACACAGAAAGATGGAGTACTCTCTGTGTCAAGGTGAGAAGAAAAATGGTAGGCAGATAACTTATATCTACTCAGGAAGGTAGGGAAAACAGGGAAACAGGTGCAGCTCCGTGGAAATCTGACCTATTCCAAAGCACTGAAAAAAAATATTCCATTGGCATAGCACCTGCATGTCTGTTTCTTTTTTCTAACAAGATAGCTGTAACTCCCATAACCTCTGCCATAGAAAACAGGAGCCCTGACGTGGAAAGCCGAGTCTTGCCCAGTCTCATCAGATCTCAGAAGCAGGAGTAACCCTGGCTAGTATGTGGATGGGAGACCACCAAGGAAGTCCAGGGTCACAACGAAGAGGCGGGCAGTAGCAAACCACCTCTGAACATCTGTTGCCTTAAAAACTCCAGCAGCAAACAATGAGATGGTCACAGTCCAGAGAATTTACAATATATGAATCATGCAACGGTGATAAAGAAGCATTCACATTCTAAAGATGTTATACAAAACATTAATTTCTGAAGTGATTATTACAGGAGCTAATACAATAGAAACAGAGGCGAAAAGGCGAGACGGTGGTCTCCGGATTGGTGCTGCCGTTTCGACAATATGTCTTCCTCTGACCAAAAATTGTGCCTGTCAATGTGAAGTATGGAGTTCCTCAAGCAACAAAAGCTGCATACTCATGAGTTTTCTAAATCTTGTAGCTTGAGAAGCAACATCTCTAATTCTAGAAAAAAGTTCTCCCAAAAGCTTTGACTTCAACCAATCCGGAGACCACCGTCCCGCCTTTTCGCTTCTGTTTCTATTGTATTAGCTCCTGTAATAATCACAAGACCCTGATGCTGGGAAAGATTGAAGGTCAAAAAAGACGGGGACGGCAAAGGATGAGATGGTTAGACACTGTCATAGATGCAACGAACATGAAGTTGAGCCAACTTCAGAGGACGGCGGAAGACCGGAAGGCCTGGCGTGATCTGGTCCATGGGGTCATGAAGAGTCGGACTCGACTGTGCGACTGAACAACAACAAATAATCACTTCAGAAATTAATGTTTTGTATAACATCTTTAGATAAAAAATTGTGAATGCTTCTTTATCACAGTTCCATGAGCCTTAAAAACTCCACCAGGGGTCTCCAAAGTCAGCTGTGACTTGACAGCAAAACAAACAAACAAAAACAAACTAACAACCAGGACACAACATCACCTTTTAGAAGCTCTCAAGCACCAGGATTCGGGAAAGACCCTCTCTGTCAGAGATTTTGGAGAGCTACTGCCAGAGAGAGATCACTGGTTATCTGCTTTATTTCCTTTATCTATTTACAATATCTTAGCCCTCCTTTAACAAAAAATGGAAGTCAGGTTGCACTGTTATAAAAAATGCAATAAAAACACAAGCAATGGACATAATAATTCAACCCCCAGCGTCAACCCTATCTTGGAATTCTTGTAAGGCTTATTGCACATAGCCCATCGGCACAAATGTATGCCGAAAATTATTCAGCCTTCCCTTGCCTCTGTAAAATCATCATGGTGTGAGCCCTCCCCGTGACTTGAGTAGCCAGTTCTGCCAGGCAGGGGTCAACACAAGAAAAGCACTCATTCTAGCTGCCAGAGACCTTAACTGGTCACCGATGCTCCCTCTAAGCTGTGGAGTCTTGTGAGCAAAAATTCTACTTTGTGGGCTACTGGCATTAAAGTTGCGAGCGAGCGATTTGGCTACTGCGTAAATGAGTCTGTTCTGGGGCCCTCCTTCCTGAGCTAAGACAAAAATGTGTGGGCTGGAGGCTAAAAAACTGTGAGCTAGCTCACACCAACTCAGCTTAGAGGGAACACTGCTGGTCACCCAGGTGAGTTTTTAACAGAGATTGATTGGCGAGTGGAGGCACCTCCCTAGGACAGTTCTCTTACTCAAATGCCTTTTCCTCCCCCCAAGGGTGCCCCAGAAAGTGTCATTGAGCGCTGTAACTACGTCCGCGTGGGCAGCAGTAAGCTCCCCCTGACTCTCTCCACCAAGGAGAAGATACTCTCCAGAATCCGGGAGTGGGGCACTGGTATCGACACGCTGCGCTGCCTGGCGTTGGCCACTCGGGACCACCCTCCGCGGAAAGAGGAGATGCGTGTGGATGACTCCAGCCAGTTCATTAACTACGAGGTAAGCCTGGCTCAAGAAAAGGGATTAAAAAGGAATCTTACTTGGAAATGCATTTGTTTGTTTGATTGATTTTTAGACCGCCCTCCCCTGTACAGGGCTCGGGACGCTGTGCATCATATCAGTAGATATGTTTATGACTCATCCATTAATCAAGATTAAGACTGTTAAAAACATTCAAAACGGTAATAAAACTATTCCAGAGTGGGGTTTTAAGGACGCTTTTATGTTCTTTCCCTATGAGGAAGAGGAGGGATGGAGGAGGCCCGGCTTGATGGTAACCGTTGCTTTCCTCAACCGTAGGCCCGGCGGAACACCTCTGCCTTACAGGCCCAGCGGAATTGCACGAAGTCCCACAGGGCCCAGATGTCATTAGGTCGAGAGTTCCACTGGGCCGGCATCAGGGTTGAGGACAGCCGTATATCTTTCAGGCCAGGGATCATCAGGAGGTTCTTCTCTCCAGAGCATAATGCTCTTTGGGGGGTGTACCATGAGAGGCAGTCCCGTAGATCCGTTGGCCCCAGACTGTTTAGGGCCTTGAAGGTTGGTACCAAAACCTTGATGGATGTGAAAAGGACAAGGCGTAAGAAATAAGCATACGAGGCCATGACCTGGATAACCCAGGCTAGCCTGATCTCGTCAGATCTCAGAAGCTAATCCAGGTTGACCCTCGTTGGTATTTGGATGGGAGTCCAAGGTTGCCACATAGAGGCAGGCAATGGAAAACCACCTCTGTTCTGCTTGCCCTGAGCTGGCTGATCTCGTCAGATTTGGGAAGCCAAACAGGGCCAGCCTGAGCTCATATTTGGATGGGAGGCCACCTAGGAAATCCAGAGACAAAGGCAGACAATGGCAGCCACCTCTGAACGTCTCTTGCCTTGAAAAATCTGCAGGGTCACCATACGTTGGCTGTGACTTGGTGGCAACAAGTGTGTGTGTGTGGGGGGGGACTCCAAGCCACGTGGTGGTATATGCCTTAAGGCTAGGGATGGGTGGGTCTGGCGTACCGAACTGTTACCTTCTTAGGATCTCATTGCGTTTCCTGTTTGACCTTTTTTTTTTCTTGTGTCAGTTTAACAGAAGACAATAGCTCTATTTCCCCCTCTTAGACTTTGAGGAATTTCACATTACCCTTTTTTACCCGTTTTGAAGCCGTTTTTGATCCGTCATGGAGTAAACCGGTATAGGGCTGCCATTTCACACATGGCTTTCCCCTTCCAGTAAAGAGCTGGATCTGAAGCGGTTTGCCATTTCAGACTGCACCGCTTTTTCCCAGCCATTTTTCGCCTGCGCGGGCGATCTCCGGCTTTTTTAAAAAAAAACATTCGCTTTAGAGCGCTATAGCACTATAACAAAACACTCCAGGCATTCCAATGGCGTTGATATACTGCTGTTCCGTTATAGCGCTATAATGCTATAAAGCAAACATTTTTTTAAAAAAAAAAAGCTACTGGCCTTAAAGTTGTGAGTGAGCAATTTGGCTTGTGCATAAATTAGTTTGCTCTGGAGCCATCCCTTCCTGAGCTAAGACAAAAATCTGTGAGCTGAAGGCAAGAAAACTGTGAACCAGCTCACACTAACTCATCTTAGAGGGAGCACTGCTCTGGAGCCACCCTTCCTGAGTTAATAGAAAAATGTGTGAGCCGGAGGCTAAGAAATTGTGAGCCAGCTCACACTAACTCAGCTTAGAGGGAACACTGCTGGGAACCTGTCAGATCCCAGAAGAGGCTTTGGTGAAGCCACTGAGCTGATCTCTCCTTTCTCGTTGGGTGAAGAGCGTGGCAGCAGTGGAGAAGCTGCCTGATCCAGGCGCTCCTCTCCGCTGAATGTGCAGCAGTGCAGAGACTCCCTTGCCGCTTACGTACTGGAACCTTGGAGAAGAATGCATCTTCTTCATTCTCTGCCCCACAGCCCAGAGTGGTAGCAGGACATGGAAGGTGAGATTCCTGGTACTGGTCCCGGTTGTCCCTCATAGCCACTGGGCATGCTCAGGTGTAGCAAACGGTAGTCTGAAATACGGAGGTGATGCCAACCTTGGGGGAATGAACACTCTCCTTCTGGTTCTCTGCACGCAGACGAATCTGACTTTTGTCGGCTGCGTTGGGATGTTGGACCCTCCCCGGAAGGAAGTGATGTCATCCATCGAGATGTGCAGGAAAGCCGGTATCCGAGTGATCATGATCACCGGCGACAACAAGGGGACGGCCGTGGCCATCTGCCGGAGGATCGGGATCTTCTCGGAGACCGAGGACGTGACGGGCAAAGCCTACACGGGCAGGGAGTTCGATGACCTTGCCCCGGAGGTGCAGCGGGAAGCCTGCCTCTCCGCTCGGTGTTTTGCTCGGGTGGAGCCTGCCCACAAGTCCAAGATAGTTGAATATCTACAGTCCTTCAATGAAATCACTGCGATGGTAAGCCTGGGGCTTGGTGCTAGGATCCTACAAGAGGTGCGAGAGGTCATCTAGTCTGACCCCCTGTTTCGTACAGAAAATCCAAAGCTCGCGCATTCTGGACTGTCCAGCCTCTGCTTGAAGGCCTGCAGTCAGGGAGGTGCTCCCCCACACCCGGTAATTGATCCCTGTGTTAAATTGTTCTCATCATTGGAAACTTCTAATGTTCGGCTAAAGTCTGCCCTCCTGTAGCATTTAAGCCCATTAGTCTGTTCTTGCCCTCTGGAGCTGCAGGGAATGTTCCAAGAACACTAAAGGTCCATCGGGTCCAACATTGTGTTTCCCACAGTGACCAGCCGGATATTTCTAGGAAGACCACTAGCAGGGCAGGAAGGCAGCAGCGTTCTCCCACTGTAGCTCCCCAAATTTAGTTTTCAGAGGTACACTGCCTCTGTACATGGAGGGTTCATTTAGCTCTCTGGGCCACTGATGGACCTCTCCTCATCCGTGTCTTTATTGGAACCCCTTTTAAATCTGTCTAGATCCAAACTTGGTTTGAGGATCTGATTTCCACTCTGCCGCCTCTTCCCTTCTCCTGCTTCCTAGTCTCCTTCCTAGCTACCAAACCAGCCTCTGTTTATCTGCCCCTCCCCGGGAAAAGTCCAGCCGAGGTGTGAAAGACATGTGGTAGCAGGCCACTCCGGTGAGCCGTGTGGTGTCTCCTCCAGGCATCGCCGAGTCCTTCAGTTTTGTAGGAACAAAGTTTGTGTCCAGTGGCACCTTTAAGACCAACAAAGTTTTATTCTGGGTATAAGCTTTCATGTGTGTGTACACTTTTGAGGCACGCACATGAAAGCTTATGCCCAGACAGGGGTCATTTCCTGCAGGAGCGCACAGGAGCGGAGCTCCGGCAGTAAAGAGCCCAGGGGGCGGGCACATGCAACAAGCCCCACCCCGTGCTCCCAGCAGCCCTCAGTCAGAGCAAGAAGCAACCAGGTAAGTTGCAGAGCCCCCCCAGCCCCCAGGCCCAAAACAGTCCAGTGGCACCTTTAAGACCGAGTTTTATTCAGGTACAAGCTCTCCCTCCTCTGCGAGGACAGATCTGCCTGTCCCCCCCCCCCCAATAGCTAGCAATCCAAAACAGTCCAGTGGAGCCTGAGCGGTGGGTGTTGCCTTCTGACACACTTCCGGTGGTGTCAGGGGGTGTGGCACATGCAAATGAGTTATGCTAATGAGCTCCTGCACCTCTTTTTCTACGAAATGACCCCTGTGCCCAGAATGAAACTTCGTTGGTCTTCGAGGTGCCACTGGACGCAAACTTTGTTCTGCTGCTTCAGGCCAACACGGCCGCACACCTGACTCGATCTGAAGAAATGTGTGTGCACATGGAAACTTACAAATTCACAAATACCTCCCCCCCCCCACACACACACACACAGAGACTGCTGATCCATGCCCAGAAGATGACAGAAAACCTCCCAGGTCTCCAGCCAAACTGGACTGGAGGAAATTTGCTTCCCGGCCCCAACATGGCGATCAGCATTTCCCTGGGCATGTAAGAAGAGGAAGAGAAAAAAACTCTCTCCCTCTCCACTTTCTGCGCACTGGCTTAATTTATAAACATCCCTCCTCTAACAGCTGATCTTTGCTTTCTCCAGACGGGCGACGGAGTAAATGATGCCCCAGCTTTGAAGAAAGCCGAAATCGGCATTGCTATGGGCTCCGGCACGGCTGTGGCCAAGTCAGCGGCAGAAATGGTCTTATCCGATGACAACTTTTCAACCATCGTTGCAGCTGTGGAGGAGGGCAGGGCCATCTACAACAACATGAAGCAGTTCATCCGTTACCTCATCTCTTCCAATGTCGGGGAGGTTGTCTGGTATGAGCACTCTCCGGCGATCCTTGGTGCCATGCAGAATATAACATCACAGCCGGAGGAGCACAGTTTCCCCATTCTTTCACTCCCCCCTTGAGCTTCCTCTCCTCTTACCTGTCTACTGTTCTGCCCTGATTTACCCCTACCTGGAACCTTTGCTCTGCCGTTCCTCCAAAGGGCTCCTACTCCCTTATACGGGGAGTTAGAGAAGTACACAACGTTTTTAGTCCTTTTGGATTAAGCATTTTATTTACGTCATTTACTTCAGTTATTTTTTTTTATAGTCCTCCGTTTTCTTTGGACGGCAAGACTAGAAGTGTTGCAATGGGACAGTATATTGCGTATAATAACCAATATGTTGTCAAAGGCTTTCATGGCCAGAGTTCATTAGCTGTTGTAGGTTTTCCAGGTTGTGTGACTGTGTTCTTGGCATTGTAGGACCTGACATTTCGCCAGTAGCTGTGACTGGCATCCTCAGAGGTATAACACAGAAAGACGTGTGTCAAGGTGAGGAGAAAATGGTAGGCAGGTAATTTGTGTCTACTCAGGAAGGTGGGGTAGGGATGAGTCATTATTAGCATGTTCACAGGCTGGGGAACTCCTACAAGATAATGACTCAGCCCTACCCCACCTTCCTGAGTAGATATAAATTATCTGCCTACCAGTGTTCCCTCTAAGCTGAGTTAGTGTGAGCTAGTTAGCCTCCAGCTCACAGTTAGCCTCCAGCTCACACATTTTTGTCTTAGCTCAGGCAGGATGGCTCCAGAGCAAACTAATTTATGCAGCACAACTTTAATGTCAGTAGCTCACAAAGTAGAATTTTTGCTCACAAGACTCCACAGCTTAGAGGGAACTTTGTGCCTACCATTTTTCTTCTCACCTTGACACAGAGAGTACTCCATCTTTCTGTGTTATACCTCTGAGGGTGCCAGTGACAGCTACTGGCGAAACGTCAGGTCCTACAATGCCAAGACCACGGCCATACAACCTGGAAAAATCTACAACAGCATATAATAATCATGCCAATAAACATGTTGACAGATGGGAAGATATGGCTGAACAAGATTTCCAGCAGCTGAGGTTCAGGCTTCTTGCCTTGCATAAGTTCTCCCTGTTTACACACACACGTATCTATAGCAAGATTCTTGTCCTTGTGGAGGTTAAGATGTGCCGGAGATCTCAAAGGCTACACTAATGAGATGGGCTGAAGAAGAGTCCCAGACTCCCAGCAGCTGAGGCACAGCTTTGTGTCCTGTAGGTTTTCTGCTTTCCTTCTAGACCAGGAAAAGCCAAGCGATGTAAAATAGGAACATGCTGAATAAATTCTGCAAGACATATGCAGGTTTTCATAATTCATACACACAAAAGCTTTACTTGGAGCAAAGTGCAACATTATTTTAATCCAGAATTGAAAACTTTTTTTAAAAAATCATTCAGCTAACACAGCCCTGGATGGCACTGAACTCCAAAATGAGGGGTAGAGGTTTGTCACCTTATTTGGATATTCTCCCCCCTCCTCATCCATTTCTGATCCTTTCTGAAACGGATCTCTGTCTCCATGCCTTAAATGGGACCTTCCCCAGTACCCTCCCACCCTTCACATTACTCATAGAGATAACAAAGTTAAGGGTGTGAGAACCCAGGAATGGGAGAGAAAGGTGGCATGGTATAGCCCTCTCTCCTCAGATCTTGGAAGCCAAGCAGGGTTGGTAATTGGAAGGGAGACTAACAAGGAAGACTTTGCAGAGGGAGGCACTGGCAAACCACCTCTGCTTCTCACTTGCCTTGAAAGCCACTTGCTGGAATTGCCATAAAGAAGAAGAAGAGAAGAGATTGGATTTACACCCCGCCCTTCACTACCCAAAGGAGTCTCAGAGCGGCTTACAAACTCCTTTCCCTTCCCCTCCCCACAACAGACACCCTGGGAGGTAGGTGGGGCTGAGAGAGCTCTGACAGAAACTGCTCTTTTTCAAGAACAGCTGTGCCAGCACTATGGCTTGCCCAAGGCCATCCAGCAGGTGCAAGTGGAGGAGTGGGGAATCAAACCCGGTTCTCCCAGATTAGAGTCTGCGCACTTAACCAGTACACCAAACTGGCTTGACAGCACTGACATACAACTGACATGTGACTTGACAGCACTGTTAAATAATGGGTTCCATGGATGAGCAGGCTCGAGTCTAGTGATCAGCTCAACTTTATTTGTGATTTCAGCAAGAGCAAGAAAAAGACCCCAGAGCCGCAGCTCTGTTAAATAGCATGCAATTCCAGATCCAAACACACCCCACTCCCAATGATAGGCTATTTACATAACATTACTACTTGACTGGTTACTTCCAGAGTCCTGGTAGGCTATTGTTCTTGTGCTCCAAGCTCAGCCAGTCTCTGGTGTGACATACCTGGAATGGTTCAGTCCCAATACATAACACGTACATAAACTGGGATTGTGCCTGTTTGCAGACAGGGCTGGTTTGTCTGCCATTGTGTGATGCTCTGAATCTTGGGTGCTCTCTGGCTCCACTGAACCCAGATTCCCCCCGTCGTCCATGAACTCTGCCACTGCTAAAGAGACTGAGTATTGCACAGCGCAGTGGTAAAGAGTGTCGGATTCCCTGTTCTGACACAGAAGCTTGCTGGGTGATCAGTCTCTCTCAGCCTAATCTACCACATAGGCTTGTTACGAGTATAAAATGGAGGAGGAGAAAATGATGTTATAAACTGCATTGGGTCTCCGCTGGGGCAGGCGGAGTGGAGTAGAAGTATCTCAGTGAGTAAAAGAAAACCTTTGCACATTCCCCTTGCAGTATCTTCCTGACGGCTATCTTGGGGCTGCCCGAAGCGCTGATCCCAGTCCAGCTTCTGTGGGTGAACTTGGTGACAGACGGTTTGCCAGCCACGGCCCTTGGCTTCAATCCCCCCGACCTCGACATCATGGACAAGCTGCCCCGAAATCCCCGGGAGCCTCTCATCAGCGGATGGCTTTTCTTCCGCTACCTAGCCATCGGAGGTGAGAGGCGTGGATGTCTCTGTGGTATGGAAGCCAGTACAATGCAATGTCTAGCGTTAGAGTGTCAGGTGATGATGAGGAAGACACGGTCTGGTGTTCTGCCATGTAAATACTGTGTGCGTGTTTTGTTTCTGTGTTTTAATGTGGAATTTTAAATGTATGTTGCTGTGATCTCAAGGGTAAGCCCGTAGAATAAGAAAGACGGGATCTGGACGGGTGAGTGACATGTGTTGTGATTGGATGGTAGCTGTACCTGAGGGAGCGGAGTTGCCTGTTTTGTTCAGAGAGGTGGCTTTGTGTGAGAGGAAGCGGGGTGTGTTTGTGTGGAGAAAGGAGACTGAGTGAGGTGCTAGAAGGTGCTGTGAGAGAAATCTGCATCCTATGTGGAAGTTACTAGCCTGGGTGGCAAGTTGGGAAGTTAAGCTTCTGTGGACATTATTGGCCTAAGTGACGTGAGAAAATAAGTCTGTGTGGTTAGATCTAACTAAAGAACCATCATGCTAATGTACCTATCTGAAACCATTAAGATTGCCATACAGAAACCATTATACTGTTATAGTTAAGTTAAGTTAAGTTAAGTTAAGTAGCCTTTATTGGCATAGAAAAAAATTGATACAAGTAAATACAGTTTAAAGGGGAAGTTAAAACCGCAACATACATATACATCAGTGTAAATACAGGATTATTTCTGTGAGATCCCTTGGTGTGCCTTTATAGCTCAAGTGGTTAAGACGCTGAACTGCAGGCTGTGGAAGGTCGGTAGTTCAGCAGTTTGAGACCCGAGTGTGCCGCATGACGGAGTGAGCTCCCGTCTCTAGTTCCAGCTCCTGCCAACCTAGCAGTTCGAAAGCAAGAAATTGCAAGTAGATAAATAGGGACCACTTCAGTGGGAAGGGAACAGCGTTCCATGCGCCTTGGTGTTTAGTCATGCCGGCCACATGACCATGGAAACGTCTTCGGACAGCACTGGCTCTTCGGCTTTGAAACAGAGATGAGCACCGCAACCCTAGAGTCGGATTTGACTGGCTTTCAAGCAAGGGAACCTTTACTTTACCTTAAAGAAACTTAGCCACCTTCTCGGTGACATTAGAGGAGAAATCATTCAAAAGTCTATAAACCTTAAATGCATCAGAACAGTCTCTCATCCGAACTACAACAGAATCATGATACTGTTATAAATAAACTCTATTGATGTTTAAGAGAAACAACTGTGTTTTTTTAAAGGATCCTTTTTTACCTCAGAGCCACCCCCACACGCTGCCCGTTCTGTCATCCTACCATATATGCCTAAGCCACCCCGTTCTTTGGTTCCAACTAAGAATTCCAAGGCAAGAGCCTTTGGCAGCAGCAAAAATCAGGAAGGCCAAGAGGCAGCATAGCACACTTCACCTCAGAACACTATGAAAAAGTGCCCTGACAGAGGTTACACAACAAGGGGTCACACAGAGAAAGAGCGAAAGCATTACATGGGGGTTCTAATCCCCATTCAACTATGAAACCAATCGGAAGCACTGAGGCCAGTCACACTATAACCTACCTCACAGGGCCATGGTTGTTAAAATGGGGAGTGGAGGACGATGTAACCACCCTGAGTTTTGTGGACAAAGGGCAAGATAAAAACGCGACAGATCACAGTTTTGTAAGTAAAGGTAAAGGTTCCCTTGCTTGAAAGCCAGTTGAGTCCGACTCTAGGGCTGCGGTGCTCATCTCCGTTTCAAAGCTGAAGAGCCAGCGCTTTCCGAAGACGTTTCCGTGGTCATGTGGCCGGCATGACTAAACACCAAGGTGCACGGAACGCTGTTACCTTCCCACCGAAGTGGCACCTATTTATCTTCTTGCAATTTCTTGCTTTCGAACTGCTAGGTTGGCAGGAGCTGGAACTAGAGACAGGAGCTCACTAGGTGTTAAACATCTGTCTAGGTGCTAGTTTAAGACAACCTTATTCTCCCAAGCTTTTCATGTATAGTGATTTGTTTCTATAATTTCACTTTATTGATGTGATGGACTACTCTCTTCTGCCAACAGAGAAAGGCTTCCTTCAACAAAGCAAGACTTTTCTCCAATGGAGGAAGTTTTCGCAGATGGGAGGCACAGGACTCCCAACCTTACCTTAGCTAGCCAGCAAAGCGGAATAGCGCAACATCATGAGGTCTACTAGATTGAGTTTGCTTCTCTCTTCACCTTTTGCTTCTCTCTTCACTCCTTGCAGTGTACGTTGGCCTGGCGACAGTAGGTGCAGCCACCTGGTGGTTTTTGTATGATGCTGAAGGGCCCCAAGTTACCTTTTACCAGCTGGTAAGTTGCTAGGATGAGATGGTTAGACAGTGTCATAGATGCAACGAACATGAAATTGAGCAAACTTCAGAGGACGGCGGAAGACAGGAGGGCCTGGCGTGATCTGGTCCATGGGGTCGCGAAGAGTCGGACTCGACTGTGTGACTGAACGACAACAACAAAAGTTGCTAGATGGGCTCTGGGCCAATTGCAATTCGTTTTGTTTATTTTTAAACTTCTGTGTGACCCTATCCCCTGCTGTTTTAGTTTTTAATACATAAATACGTATGCTCCACTTTTCCTGCCAAAAGTGAACACCAGCCTCGCAAAGCAAATTAAAAAATGCAATAAGCAGTTTTACTCTGATTGCTTCTCTGATAGCAGAATGGATAAGTGCCTCTTGGCAGACAGTGAAACGGGGCCACTCACAGGCAGGGCAGCTGGTTTGGTGTATTTGGGGGATGAGGACTCCCCAGGTGTGCTGGAAAAAACTGGCTTGTAAAATTAAAAGTAAACAGTAGAGGCAGGGAGCAACCCCCAAAAATGCGCCAGTGAGGACTGAACACATGCTAGGAGTCATAGAATATTGAGGGTAGTTGGGCATCAGTTAAAGGGGTGGGGAGCAGGAACCCCCATATCTCTAGTACCCTAGAAGGGGAACAGAGGGAGGGGCTGCAGCTCAGAGCACATGCCGCGCATGAAGAAGGCACTAGGGCCATCCCCGGCATCTCCAGTTCAAAGGATCTCAGGTAACAGGTGTTGGGGGGAAACGTTTTCCATCCAAGACCCCAGAGAGCCTTTTCCAGTCAAAGAAGACACTGCTGAGCTAGAAAAGGGTTGAGCCCTGGTATTCCAAGGAGGTCTCCCATCCAAGTACTTGCCAGAGTTGACCCTGCTTAGCTTCCAAGATCTGACAAGATCGGGCTTGCCTGGGCTATCCAGGTCAGGGCGAGGATGCTACTATTAATGGCTGCAAAGATGGTCATTCTGTGATCCTTCCTGTCGCAGTGGGACCTGCCATAATTTCTGGGCAGCTTATGGTATGTCAAAGGTCATGGTGGTGGTGGTGGTGGAGGAGGAGGAGGGGGGAAAGTTGCATCTGCTCATTTTGCAATGCTCTCCCATGCTGGACTTGTGGCTGTATTCTCCTTCCTCACAGAGGAACTTTATGAGATGCACTGAGGACAACCCCATCTTTGAAGGGGTCGACTGCGAAATCTTCGAATCTCGCTATCCAACGACGATGGCGCTCTCGGTGCTGGTGACCATTGAGATGTGCAACGCCCTGAACAGGTACGGCGCCTCCCGCCAGGCTTTCTTCTCTTCTCTCGTGCCTCCCGTTGTTTTTTGTAACAGATCTAGATATGGAAAGAGGAGGAAATGATTCAGCCCCCAGAGGCTGGATGTAAGAGAGATACTTGAGGCGGGCGGGCTGTGTTATCTATAGATAGGGAACGGCATCACACAGAGGGCAGAACCGGACGTGAGGGAAGTCAAACATCATTTGTGTGGTTGTGGAGACCATTTTGATAGTGGTGGCTGGAACTGCAGAAGTCACCGCTTAGGAGAAGCAGCATCAAAGGTTGAGAGTGTAAGCCATAGTGGTTAAGAGTGCAGACTCTAATCTGGGAGAACTGGGTTTGATTCTCCACTCCTCCACATGCAGCCAGCTGGTTGACCTGGGGTCAGTCACAGCTCTCTCAGAGCTGTTCTCTCAAGAACACTTCTCTCAGAACTCTCTCAACCCCACCTATCTTGCAGGGGGTCTGTTGTGCAGAGAGGAAGGGAAGGAAATTGTAAGCCACTCTGAGACTCCCAAGTGAAGGGCAGGGTATAAAGCCAACTCTTCCTCCTCCTCCTCCTCCTCTTCTTTGGTGTAGGGGTTAAGTGCACAGACTCTAATCTGGGAGAACTGGATTTGATTCCCCACTCCTCCACATGCAGCTGCTGGTGTGACCTTGGGTCAGTCATAAGTTCTTTCAGAGCTGTTCTTTCGGGAGTGGTTCTCAAAAGAGCTCTCTCCGCCCCACCTACCTCACAGGGTGTCTGTTGTGGGGAGGGGAAGGGAAAGGAGTTCGTAAGCCCCTCTGAGACTCCTTTGGGTAGTGAAGGGCGGGGTATAAATCCAATCTCCTCCTCCTCCTCCTCCTCCTCTTCTTCCCACTCATTCATGCCAGTCATGGATTTAGAAGCAGAATTTTAACAATCCTGAGGAGCACACAGCTAGGTTCTTGGGTGTGAGGGGGGAAAGCGGAGACGATGGATTCACACCTGTCCCTTCTCTGCAGTGTGTCTGAAAACCAGTCGCTGCTGAGGATGCCTCCTTGGCTCAACCTGTGGCTCCTCGGGGCGATTGTCGTGTCGATGGCTCTGCATTTCCTGATTCTCTATGTCAAGCCATTGCCCGTAAGTACCAAGACCTGCATCTCGAGTGAGAAAATGTTGGCTTCCAAGGGGAAAGCGTCACTGCCACCCAGCCAGCCACTTTCTGAATTGCCCTTTGGCCAGCTGTCAGGATTCGGGGGGTGGGGCATGCATGATCTCTTTGGGGATGGCAGGGAAACAATCTTGGAAACTGGAAGACTGAAGCAGGGGCCGAGGGGATGGTGTGGGCGCAGGAGCCTTTTCCAGAGGCTCTCACAAAAGAGGACCCCCTCCCCAGGGAGGTATAGATCAGCGTTCTTACAACACATCCCCAAGAGGCCTGCCTTCTGCCTCAGAAATCAGACCAGTGTTAGCCTTCCGGCCCCACTGGATCCCATGTTTCTAGATCAGAAAGTGGCCCTTTTAATTTGGGGTGGGTTTTTCCCCCCACCCGGTGAGGTGGGACTTGAGAGAAGCACCTCCCTACAGATCTCATTTGGATCCACACCCATGCTGTAGCAACGCTCACAGCTCACCCATCCGCCCCACAGTGAGCTCTCCAAGGTCCTGAAAGCCTGCTGTCTACCACAGACTCCTCTGTCCCAGGACAACAGACCACCCAAATCCCTGAGTCCCTTGCATTTCTATCCCACCACTCCTCCAAAGAGGTCTAGGTGACACACGCTGCAGCCCCTGCCTCTGTTTTATTCTCTGGGCAGAAAGGTTAGGCTAAGAGAGGGTGATCGGGCCAAGGTCATCCAGTCAATCTCAAGTCCGGGGGGCTTTTAAACTTGGGTCTCCTAGTCGGACACTGTGCCACACTAGATTTCCGTGCCCAGCTGGTGACCTGAGATTTTTGCCGTACCCAGCCATTATGCCCCTGCCGGCATTGGAAAGGAACAGAGACTAAAGCAGGTGTGGATCTGGCCACGATGGGGGCGAGAAACCATTAGAACTTGTCACGCCCTTGAAGCTTCTTGAAGAAAGAGCTGGTGAGAAGTAGGATCCACAGAGCAGAATCAGTGTGTGGAGTGGCTTTGCGAAGTAACTCATCCATAGGACCCTGCCCCAAGGAGCTTACAATTTAGATGTTTGTCTTAATGGAGGAGAGGAAAGAATAAGCTAGGGAATGATCTGTTATTGGCTCCAGTTGCAAAAATAAAACCAGGTGAGGAATAAGCAGGTGAACCAAACCAAGCCCTCCTGACTCTCCCACCCAGTCAAAGAGGCTCATTTGGTGGGTATACGAAATAAGGTCTTTTCAGTGGCAGGGAGGTGTGCCCAGCCCATTCACTTTTGATCTTTAGGAGGCAGACGAAGATTGTTTTATTTAAGACTCCATTTAATTAAAGCAGTCCTAAACTGCGATTTTACAATATGCGGCTATGGGTTTTTAAAAATGTTTTTAAAGTATTTTATTAATATTGTAAGCCACCTTGAGCTCTGTAGGAAGAAAGGCAGCGAACAAAGATGTTAAATGAATAAATACTGGCTTATGTCGCCCAGTGAGCTTTGGGGGGGATCAGCAACCAGATCTCACAGTTTCTGTTCTGACAGTCGAACCATTACCCTACACTGGCACTGCACCATATCTTCAGCCGGCTGTGTACAGGTTAGCTGAGCTCATTCCACACATTCGAGGTGGTGGCCAAAAAGATGGAAGCTGTGGTTCTGGCCCCTAAATATCAGACGTAGGGGCTGCCAAGCCGTGGCAGGGGATCCGCACATCTTCACAGGATCCTTGCCGCGGGGGACAGAGATACGCGTTGCACCACCGTCGCCAGGATGTGACGCTATGTGTCGCTCTGGCAATGGGACTCCAAACAGCCCCGTTGCCAGAGCGACGCGTAGCGTCACATCCTGGCGACGGCGGTGCAACGCGCATTGCTGTCCCCCGCAGCAGGGATCCTGTGAAGACGTGCGGATCCCCCGCCGTGGCTTGGCATCCCTAATCAGACAGAATATCATCCCCAGTTTCCTTAACTGGTGGTTCAGAGGTCACTTTCTCATGGTCTAAGAACCACTCAAATGGGCCTTAGGACTGAAAAGCCCAAGTCAGTCTTGCCAGAATTTCAGGTCAGGCTTGTACCATTGAACCTGTCTCTTCAACTACTGCAGTGTGGTGTAAAGAATTGAGACAGGTGATGCCAGCTTGGTGCCGTGGTTCAGAACGGCAGGACTCTAATCTGGAGAACCAGGTTCATTTCCCCACTCCTCCATATGATGCCAGCTGGGTGACCTTGGGTCAGTCACAGCTCTCTCGGAGCTCTCTCCGCCCCACCTACCTCACAGGGTGTCTGTTGTGGGGAGAGGAAGAGAAGGGAATCGTAAGCCGCTCTGAGACCCCTTTGGGTAGTGAAGGGCAGGGAATAAAACCAACCCTTCTTCTTCTTCTCCGTTGTTGTTTTCCCCCCCTCACTGCTGGGTTTTTAGTGAAGACATGTCAACATCTGTCAGCTTATGCAAATGAAATTGAAAGGAGGGGCAGGAAGCAGCCGGGCACGCCTCCTGTCATGCTTGGACCCAGCTCCAGCTGAGAATCCCCCTTTTCTCAGAATGCTTCTATTGAAATTTGATCCGATAGGACGGCAAGAGTGGCCCTGCTAGATGTGACACAAGTTCCATCTGTTGTGCATGTTGTATATCCCCTGTATTTGGGTTGTTGTTGTTTTTTAAAAAAAACTGAATAATAATAATAAACTAAGTGCCATCCATTCAATTTATGGTGAACCCTCATGGGGTTTTCAAGGCCAGAGACGTTCAGAGGAGATTTGCGATTGCCTGCCTCTGCACAGCAGCCCTGGTATTCCTCCGTGGTCTCCCATCCCAGGGCTATTTTGGGGCAGGAACGCACAGGAACGGAGTTCCGGCTGGCTCCCGAGTTGGCCACGCCCAGCAGGAACTCATTTGCATAGTAGGCCACACCCAACAGCAGGAACTCATTAGGACTGGCTACATTAGGGGTGTGTGGCCTAACATGCAAAGGAGTTCCTGCTACAAAAAAGCCATGGGTTTTGACAACAAACAAGGTAAACAGAATAAGAAGCAAAAAGGTGGGTGTGTCTGGATGACCACACTTCTGGCAACATGGGGGTGCGGCCTAATGTGCTAATGAGCAGTGCAGTCAGTGGTGTGGCCTAATATGCTAATGAGTTTTTACTGCTGGGTGTGGCCTGTTATGCTAATGAGTTCCTGCTGGATTTTTTCTACAAAAAGAGCCCTGCTTCCACCCCAGTACTAATCCTGTGTGACCCTGCTGAACTTCCAGGCTCTGACAAGCATGGGCTAGTCTGGGATATTCAGGCTGCCTGAAAAGCAGGATCTAAAAAAATGGTAAAGAGATTTTAAATATTTGATGTGAAACTGCCCTTTGTGTAGTGGCTTAAGTGCGCAGATTCTAATCTGGGAGAACCGGGTTTGATTCCCCACTCCTCCACTTGCACCTGCTGGATGACCTTGGGCAAGCCATAGTTCTGGCACAGCTGCTCTTGAAAAAGAGCCGTTTCTGTCAGAGCTCTCTCAGCCCCACCTACCTCACAGGGTGTCTGTTTTGGGGAGGGGAAGGGGAAAGGAGTTTGTAAGCCACCCTGAGACTCCTGCGGGTAGTGAAGGGCAGGGTATAAATCCAATCGCCTCCTCCTCTTCTTCTTCTTCCCTTTGCTGTGCAGCTGATCTTCCAGGTAACGCCTCTCCACTGGCCGCAGTGGGTGGTTGTGATGAAAATCTCGTTGCCGGTTATCCTGCTGGACGAAGGCTTGAAGTACCTCTCCCGCAACCATTTAGAGGGTGAGTAGGCCTCGCAAGAGGGCCGCGGCCTGTCTCCTCGCCTTCCCTGGGACACTTCACTGTATCCATTGAGCCAAGCTTCATGGGGGCAAAGAGTTCAATAGGCTGGGAGGGGACTAGTTGAAAAAGCCCCGTCTTGGGTATCTGCTGGCCTCACTCAATGCACCCTGAACTCATGGAATAGGGCATCACGCGTGGATCTCAAGTCTTGGGCACGGTTGTATGCACAGGGGGTGGTCTTTTGCATGCCTTGGTTCCCCCAGTGCCAATACAGGGGCCATGGAGTAAGTTTAAAAGCAGCTAACGAACTACTGTGTGGTTGCAAATATTGGGATCCACATGATGGTGAGAGGTAATTAATGCTTATTGAACATACTGTGTATTCCACCAAAAAGCTTTTTTTCCCCCTTTCTTTTTTTGCATCTTGTTTTTAACCTAGTGATGTGGTCTGTTCTGTTGGTATGTATATTCTGCTGTCTGGTGCATGTATTTTATTTGTTTACTTCATTTCAGGGGCCACGGTGGCTCAGAGGTTAAGATGCTGAGCTGCAGACTGGAAGGTCTGTAGTTTGGCAGTGCGAAACCTGAGTGCCGCGTGACGGAGTGAGCTCCCGTCTCTGGCCCCAGCTCCTGCCAACCTAGCAGTTCGAAAGGAAGAAATTGCAAGTAGATAAATAGGTATTGCTTCAGTGGGAAGGTAACAGCATTCGATGCGCCTTAGCATTTAGTCATGCTGGCCACACAACCATAGCAAAGTCTTTGGACAGCACTGGCTCTTTGGCTTGGAAACGGAGATGAGCACCACCACCCCCAGAGTCGGATTCGACTGGTTTTTGAGCAAGGGAAACCTTTACCTTTTACTTACTTCATTTATCATCCACTTTTCTCACTTGGACTTAAGGTGGATTAGAATGTTAAAAGCAAAAAGAAAAACAATGCTATAAAATAGTATAATACATAACATAAGCCATGCAATGAAACTGAATTAGAAAACAATGCAACAAAAACAGCAAAATGCATACAATAAGTGATGCTGTGAAACTGCCTAACATTTTCTATCATTAAAAAGAGAACCTAGTGCCCTTTATGATAATGCTTTCCTGAACAATATTTCTCTAGAGCTTTCACACATGCTGAATAATGCACTTTCAATGAACGTTAGTGATCATTTGCAAACAGACTTGTCTATTTCACACAATGAAGTCCAGTTGCCAAGTGCACTGGAGAAGTGGACTGAAAGTGCATTATTCCATGTGTGTAAAATAAAATATACAGTAGTGCTTGATTCACTGGTTTTAAAATGTTTTCTTCTTCCTTCTCGTTGGCGTTGATGGTTTTGGATGGGATGGCTTTATGATTTTAAGCTTTTGCTGGTTTTTATTTTGGCATCTTGCCTGTTTGTTGTGTATTCCCCCCCCCCTTCCTCCATGCTGCCTTGAGAACAAAGCTGGCCAGGAGTGCAAGTACAGATGCTTCAAATGAACGAGCAAATTTGGATTTGTAGCCTGTTGGACCTATCTGACGCTATGACTCCAAGTCACAGGAGGAAATCTGCAAATCCTCTTAAATCGATTGCGACATGTAGGGGAAACAAGCGAGTGCCCTGCTTGGCTGGAGACCATAGAAGGCCCATGCACTGCGGAAGGGCATCGCCACTGTGACTTATTAACAATGAGCATGAAGCAGCCATGGAGTCTGCCTGGGGCTTTGGAAGGCAAAGCGAAATCCCATCTGTCTCGTTCTGTCATAATGTGGCCGTTTAGGGTAATCTTTTCTTCCTCTGCTGTTACCGTGGGCGCCACAAACCCACTGTTTGGTTCGAGGAATTCATATTGAGGAGAAAACTGTTTGTTACTTGACCTTCCTTGAAGGAACGGGAACGAAAAACAAAAAAAAATCCATGCCTTGCCCTTTATTAGGGCCAACCGAAGCAACACAAAATGCTGTGGGAGCTTTCGTGCTGAGCAGAAATGTTCGCCGTGTTACAGTTTTAAAAACGAAGGAGGGAAACGTCTTCATGGGCTTGGAGAGTCTTGTAGAAGGCGGCCTTAGGGGTGGAGGTGCAGAAGTGTAAGCTTTGTGTCTCTCCGAGCACTTGATCCCTTGTTTGTTCAACCCATTTCCTGTTCATGCAGGCCCAAGAATCTGTCTCTTAGTTGCTCAGAAAAATAACTGTCTTTGTGCGGAGGGGAGACATAACGGAGGAGTGTAAAACGATGCAGTGCTGAGAAAGTCAAGAGAGGGCTTTTCTTGTTCCTTTGTTTCCTTCCTTCCCTCCTCCCTGACTAATTCAGGATATCTAGTGAAACTGACGCCAGGGCCTCCTGTCTTCCGTCGTGCTACGGAGTTTTCTTAATTTCACGTTTGTTGCATCGACAACACTGTCCAACCATCTCATCCTTTGATGTCCCCTTCTTCTGTTACCTTCAGTCTTTCCCAGCCTCAGGGTCTTCTCCAGTGAGTGCTCCCTTCTCATTTGGTGGCCAAAGTATTTGAGCTTCAGCTTCAGTATCTGGCCTTCCAGGGAACAGTCAGGGTTGATTTCTTTAACAACAGCAACAAAAGTGATACTGACAGGCAGTAGATTCGGAACACAAACAGAAGTGAACACTCCTTTTAGACAGTGTGTACTTGACTTGTGGAACTCACTGACATAGGATGCATTGACAGCCTCTGTTTTAGATGGCCGAGAAGGAGGCTCGTCGTGGCCACAGTGATGACGTGGAACCTGCATCTTCAGTGGCTGTATACCTCTGACTGAAAGAGACAGGAAACCTCTGAATGACAAAAAAGAGGGAGGTAACAGAGTACCAGAGGTCTGATGTTTGTATTCTCTTGGGATCCAGAACCTAAAAAGGTAAGTCAAACAGAATAGAGGGCCAACAATAAAATCTTAATAGTATGAAAATATACATGTATTTATTGACAAAGAATTAAAAAGCATATAAGGGCCCAATCACACCTCATGTAAAAACTCCAAAATTTAGCACACAAGGGCCAATGGACTTGACCTGATGC